GGTGAGGAGGACAGGCACGCTTGACAGAAGTGATTCAAAAGATGAGCGACCAAAAGAGGGGCTGAGTAATGCCCACAGGTGGAGACCTTAGCAAAGGATGGCGGGAAGAGCAGGAGGCCTGTGCTGCTGGAGTTTATCTTTACCTCATGCATTGCTGGGGCAAACTCTGATTTTCTTTCCATTTCCTTGGGTCCTTCCCCTTCACACTGTCCTGCTCGTAGTGCAAATAAGGGGTGCCCCAGCCTTTCTTTTTCTTCCTGATGTACTCATGTGGCTGAAGGACCATGGAAAACTTGCTCCATTGAAACTATGCTCAGAGAGCTGGAGAGAGGGCTCCATAAAATCTCTTCCAGAGGCCTCGGGTTTGATTCCCAGCACCCATATGAAGGCTCACAACCATCGGTAACTCCAGTTCCAGGGGATCCGATGTCCTCTCTGATCTCCACAGGAAGTATGTACACACATTATATATGCAAGCACAACACTCATACATGTGAAATAAATGAATAAGTTTCAAAAAAAATTAAAGAGAAATAAACCAAAGAAGCAATCAGGAAGAACTGGGAATGCCATTCAACTGATGGAGTGGTCACCTAACATGCACGATATCTCAGGTTCCATTCCCAGGACCAGGGGAACTGGTCTGGTGTTGCACACCTGTAATCTTAGCACTGGGGAAGTGGAGGAGAAGGTCAAAGTCAGCCTCCTACTTAGTGAGTTTGAGACCAACCTGAACTACACAAGACTGTGATTCAAAAAAAAAAGGGGGGGGCAGAGTGAGGTGGACACTGTGACACAGGTCTGCCCTCACCACACACAGGAAGGCTGAAGCATAGGGTTGAGAATCAGAGGCTAGCCTGGGCTACAAGGGGAGCAGAGGGGAGATCTGGACACGGTGTGCTATATGGGTCACTTTTGTATCAAGTGACAAAATATGTAACCAAAACCATGTAAGGGAAGAGATTTAATTTGGGATCACAGTTTCAGAGAGCTCTCTTCCCACCGTGATGGGAAAAGCAGAGCACAGCAGTTCTGTCTGTGCCCACCAGAACATATGGACACAGTTCACATCATGGTGGACCAGAGAGCAGAGAAAGACTGTAACTAGGGGTGAGTATAACCTTCCCAGGCCTGCTTCCCAGAGACTTCCCCAAACAGTACCACCCGCTGGGGAACAAGTGCACACAATACATACATTTGCAGAGGCCCATTTTAGATTCAAATGCTAATGGCTGTATATATTAAATGAAATCACAGATGGGGCTGGTGAGATGGCTCATGGATAAAGATGCTTGCTGCCAAGCCTCATGACCTGAGTTTACTCCCTGGGACCCACACGGTAGAAGGAGAGAATTGACGGGCACAAATTGTCCTCCACACATATGGTATGGTATGGTATGGTGGGAGCCCCTCCAAAATAAATAAATGTGATTTATTTTGGGCATGGTGGCTCATGCCTTTAATCCCAGCACTTGGGAGGCAGAGGCAGGTGGAGCTCTGTGAGTTCGAGGCCAGCCTGGTCTACAGAGCAAGTTCCAGGACAGTCAGGGCCACACAGAGAAACCTTGTCTCAAAGAAACAAACAAAAACCATAACAAAATGAAAACACAGAACAAATCCCCCACATCCTCTGTGTGTGTTTGTGTGTGTGTGTGTGTGTGTGTGTGTGTGTGTGTGTGTGTGTCTGTGCCTGTGCCTGTGCCTGTATTTGCTAGATGCTAGACATATAGGCCTGTTGTCTTCCTCAATCACTCTTCACCTTACTAATCTACTTTTTGGTATTGCTGGGGATTGAACTCAGGGTCTCCAAGTGAGAGACAAGCCCTGTAATACCGAGCTACATCTCCAGCCCTCTGCATTATGTTTGGAGACAGTCTTTCTCTGAACCTGGAGATCACTTAATGGCCAAAGAGCTTAAGGGATCCAGCTGTGTCTGCCTTCCCAGAGTTGGCATTACAAACACTAGTAGCTATGCCTGGCTTTTTACATGCCTACTGGGAATCTGAACCTAGGGCTTCCTGCTTGATCAGCAGGTAAACCCACTGAGGCATCTCTGGGATCCACTCACATCTCCTGGACTAATACTTGTTTCTATATATTTTTAGATGTATTTATTTTATAAGTGTTTCAAATGCAGGTATGTGTGTGCACCATGTCCATAGTGCCTAGTGACTCAGAAAGTCAGAAGAGGGCACTGGATCCCCCTGAACTGGAGTTACAGATGGTTGTGAGCCACTATGTGAGTGATGGGAACTGAACTTGGGTCCTCTACAAGAGCAACAAGCACTCTTAGCTGCTGAGCCATCTCTTCAGCCCCCCCCCCCCCGAATATTGTTTTTGTTTTTGTTTTTAAAGATGTTTCTGCTAAGCTAAGTTGTGAAGCAGAGACAGGTCCAGAGGGACACATGTGTGAGCACTTGTCAGGTTGTCCATCCTCTGTGTCTGACCCTCTCACACCTTATCAGGGCCACTAGGCTTAGAGCATCACTGTACGCACACACACTAGAGTCCTAGCAAATGCTGTTGAACTCTTGGCTCATTCAGAGTTGGACACCAATTAACACAGAACAAAAATTCTTTTGAGACAGCGATCTCAATTTTCTTTTCTTTTTTTTTTTTTTTTTTTGGTTTTTCGAGACAGGGTTTCTCTGTGTAGCTTTGCGCCTTTCCTGGGACTCACTTGGTAGCCCAGGCTGGCCTCGAACAAACAGAGATTCTCCCGGCTCTGCCTCCCGAGTGCTGGGATTAAAGGCGTGCGCCACCACCGCCCGGCAGACACACGTCTTTTTTTTTTTTTCCAGACAGGGTTTCTCTGTGTAGTTTTGCGCCTTTCCTGGAACTCACTCTGTAGACCAGGCTGGCCTCGAACTCACAGAGCTCCACCTGCCTCTGCCTCCCAAGTGCTGGGATTAAAGGTGTGCGCCACCACCACCTGGCTAAAATTTTTTTTTTTGGAGCTGAGGACCGAACCCAGGGCCTTGCACTTGCTAGGCAAGCACTCTACCATTCAGCTAAATCCCCAACCCTTCTCAATTTTCTAAAGAGCATCCGTACTTATTTCCACAGTCAGCGCACAGATTTATGTTTTGTTTTTTTTTTAAGATTTATTTATTATGCATACAGTATTCTGTCTGCATGCCAGAAGAGGGCGCCAGATCTCATTATAGAGGGTTGGGAGCCAGCGTGTGGTTGCTGGGAATTGAACTCAGGACCTCTGGAAGAACAGCCAGTGCTCTTTTAACCTCTGAGTCATCTCTCCAGCCCCCAGATTTATGTTTTTAAAGAAAAGTTTTGTTTTATTTTGTGGGTTTATTTTTATTGGGGCTGGAGACAGCTCAGAGGTCAAGAGCTCTTGCGACTCTTGCAGAGGACCAGAAGACCCAAGTTCATTTTCCAGCACTCACAACCACCTGAACTCCAGCTCCAGGGGAATCTGACAACCACACACATGTGAGCATACACATACAAGCATAAAAGATGTATTTTTTTTTAAAAAAAAGATGTATTTTTAAATTTTGTGTGTGTGTGTGTGTGTGTGTGTGTGTGTGTGTGTGTGTGTGCCAGAGTGGTATGTGGAGGTTAGAGTACAACTTTGGGAGTTGGTTCTCCTTCCATGTAATTCAGACATGGAACTTAGGTTTCAGTGACTGTTTTATTGGGTGAGCAATCTCATGAGGCTTGTTTTGTTTATAGCCCAGGCTGTCCTCAAACGTAGTATTTCTCCTGCCACAGAATCCCAAGAGCTGAGTGGCACAGTACTTTTCATTATACCCATCAGTATGGAGTCTATTTATTCGTCTCCATATTTGTAAAATTACCAAAGATAGAAAAACTGAACGCAGTAAAACGTAGTTTCCTGAATCTTCTGTGAGACCTACAGGATAATAAATATAATAAATAGATCAAGTTGTTTTTTTTTAATTGATCAAGAACAGAGATGAAAGCCTGTAATCGAAACTACTCCAAAGGTTGAGGCAGGGGGTTCACTAGTTTGAGGGATATAGCTCAGTGGTAGGGCAACAGGGTAGAATTTACCACTAAGGACCTGGAAGTATGGCTCGGCAGCCAAGAATGTTCCTAGAATCCCGAGGCGGAGGGGCTGGGGGCGTGGCTCAGTGGTCGTGTACCCCTACCTAGAACCTCCGAGGTGCAGGGGACCTGGGGCTCAATGCAAAAAGCACTTGTGCAACAATGCACGAGGCCCTGGATTCAACCCGTGGCGTTGTCTAAAATGCAATAGTAAATCCTTTTTAAAAAGCCACTCTTTCAACTCCTGCAGCCGGGCGCCACCTGAATCTCCCTCCTGGGCTTCCAGGGGCCAGCCGGCCCACGAGCATGCGCAGACGGGCTTTACTAGTCTCCATCGCCCAGGGAACCCTGCCGCCCCCGAGGATGGATCCGAGAGGGTGTCCGGGGCCCACAGGCATCGCCTTCTCAGGACTCGGTTCCTCCGTCCGGCCCCTCCCCCTGCAGCCCTCCCAGGGCTGCGCCTTCTCTTCTCGCACCTTCCAACCGCCCGCCTCCCAAAATGGCGACCAACCGCCTCCTTTCCCGCCCGGTGGAAGGGTCACATGACCGCCACAGGGTTTCCCGCCCCCCCGCCCCGCCCCGCCCCGCAGAGGCCACGCCCCCTCCCTCTAAGCCTCGGGGAGTCTGGCCCAGGGGCACGCGCCAGGAGCCCCGGGGCCG